CGAGGAAGGTCAGGGCCCTACTGAGATAACATAATAAATAATGAGATAACAGAACAGTTTAAATAAAGTCTATAACGAGAATTCTAAACAAGGTAAATAAGGAAGAACAGTAATAGAAAGCAAGGTACAATACAAGGAAAATTGCCGTTAACAAGGAATAATAGCCGGGGATCTCTTGGTATCCCGAGGATCTCTTGGTATCCTCATCATATACACTAGGGATCTCTTGGTATCCCGAGGATCTCTTGGTATCCTCATCATATACACTAGGGATCTCTTGGTATCCCGAGGATCTCTTGGTATCCTCATCATATACACTAGGGATCTCTCGGTATCCCGAGGATCTCTTGGTATCCTCAATAAGTAGTCCGAGGATCTCTTGTATCCCAGTATATATATAGAAACACATGTGCCAGGGATCTCTTGGTATCCCGCACCCTCAGTCCAGAATATCTCAAGTACAGGGGGATCTCCCGGGAAGCCGTCCCGTAGTCCCAAATTAAACACACAACAACAAGCAACTCATAATCTCAGAATAATGCTGAAAGATCAGGACAAGAAATAGTAAATTCTAGCCTAACATGCTCCACAGAGTACAAATGGCACAGCTAAACAATTAGCAAGTAAGCCAGATAAACATGAGTCTCTAAGCTAGCACAGGTATAAACTCACAGTTTAAAATGAACAAGTAAACATGAAATCTCAATTTAAATACTTCAAGTTGTAACGGGTTTACAACAATTAGCTCAAGTACGCGCTCGTCACCTCACGTACGAGGCATTCAAATATTCAAAGATCATGTCCTAAAGGGAAAAGTCCCCCACACATGGTTAGACAAGCCACTTACCTCGAACCGACTCAATATCAACTAGAAACCACGCTCTTGCCACGAGTATCCGACTCCAAATGGCTCAAATCTATTCAATTCAATTACACATCGTAAATAACATCGCAAACACCTGGTTTTGCTAATAAATTCAAAGCTACGGCGTAAAATTAGGTGAAATGACCAAAATGCCCTTCAAGCTAACGTCTTGGAATCGAATAATTTTCACATTTTTAGAACCCTCGTACTCTCACGAGTCTAACCATATAAAAACCTCCCAAATCGGAGGTCAAATGCCCACTCAAAATTCAATAGTTTCGGTAATGAAGTTTTACCCCAAATTATCCAATTTTTTGATCCTAAATTCGAATTCCAATGATGTATTTAACTATATAATGATGAAATATAACAAAAAGGGACCAAAGAAACGTTACCCAGTGATCTTCTCTTCGAAACCCACTCAAAATCGCCTAAAACCGAGCTCTCAATTGATTTCTCCAACTTATGAAATTAAAACCCTCGAATCTCTATATCTGTGCAGTGAATGCTGCTTCTGCGGTCTAGGGATCGCTTCTACGGTCCCGCCTATGCGAAACACTGGCCGCTTCTACGGCTTCTTTTAAAAGGTCAGACCTCCGCTTTTGCGAATAAATAACCGCTTCTACGGTTCCTGAGGGGGGGGGGGACCAAACTCGCTTCTGCGGTTCCCAAGCCGCAGAAGCGAAAATACCAGAAGGAACAAAATACCAGTTGCTGCAAACTTAGAAATTTTCCTCCGTTAACCACCCGGAATCATCCCGAGGCCCCCGGGACCTCAACCAAAAGCACCAATACCACCTAATACCTTAGTCAAACTTGTACCAATCTTGAAAACACCTAAAACAACGCCGGAAACCCGAATTAATCAAAGATTCAAGCCTAAGAACTTCAAATTCCTTCCAAATACGATTTCGATCAAAAACCTAACCAAAACACGTCCAAATGACTTGAAATTTTGCAAACACATCCCAAATGACATGACGGAGCTACTGCAACTTCCGAAATTCCAACCCGACCTTCGGATCAAAAACTCACTATCGGACCGGAAACTTCAAAAATTCAAACTTCGGCATTTCAAGTCTAAATGAGCTACGGACTTCCAAACTACATTCCGAACACGCTCCCAACCCCGAAATCACCTAACGGAACCATCGGATTTCCATTCTGAGGTCGTCTTCACACTGTTCCGACTTCTGACCATTTTTCAACACTTAAGCTCTCATTTAGGGACTAAGTGTCCCAAAACGCTCCGAATCCTAACACCGAACATCCCGGCAAACCAAAATAGCACAAATGAACTTAGGGGAAGCAGTTAAGGGGGGATCGGGGCGTAAATTCCAAAAACGACCGGCCGGGTCGTTACAGGGGTGCTGAGCGAGAATGACAAACTTGCCAGATTCCGAACCTGGTCGAGCTCTTCCTGGAACTTTAGCAATTTTTGTTCAAGCTGGGATACGTTTTCCTTAGGAACCTGAGTACCATGACCATTAGTGACCTCTACTCGTTCAGTTGAATTCTCCTTTCTGACGTTGTTCAAATCTTCCATCTTGCCTTTGTTCTTGTTTTTGATAGGACTAAGAGGAGGAGTGGCTAGAGGGCCCCTGGATCTCGTGGAATATGATGATGTTGCCAGAGTGCACGAACTAACCATTGGGGATGGGAATAACAAAACAAAAATAAAACAAAAAGGTAACCAAGTTAGTGAGGATCATAAAAATGTTGCAATATTTAAACACATAGTGCAGGAATATGAAGTGTATCCTAATTCGGGAGCCTGGTTGTGCCCGAGGTAGCCCTAGCGACAAATTGATTTGGAGAACTTAGAATGCCAAATGCCACATTTTATTGACGAAAAATAGACGAATCCCAAATTGACACTAAATAAACAGGAAACGGAAATCACTAATGGCCATCGGCCTTATTACATTTTATAAAGCGAAAAGAAAAATTCCTATCTACTTGGTCCCAGAAGGATCTTCCCCAGATTCGGCATCCCTGGCTCCGTCGCTCACACAAGAGGGGCAGAACGTAAGTCTAAGAAAATAGTGGAAGTGCATGAATGAAGTTTAAACTGAGGGGATAAAGGAGAGGGGTAGGGTGATAGGGAAACAGTAATTAGTAAAACACATAGTCAATAACTTCATACAAAAGGGGTCAGGGGTTGAGAATCCATTGCAAGGAGCCTATGTACTTAGGTAGGGGTCAGCTTTGGGCATGCACAGCAATAGAAGGTGTTGGCATGCCTATAAGCCAACCAGAACACACAACAACTAGAGGAAACATAGGTTATGGTCCCAGGGGGATCAAGTTTGGGTCATGCACAACAATGTTCAATGCTGTCATGACCCAAACCAACCACAGATACCAAACACATTGGGGATGTGGATTTAAGGTTCTCAAGCAATGATAAGTAATTAACAGAAGCATTAATTCAGAACAGAAAGGCAGACTTCAGCATGCTTAATAATGAAACTTGGTTAAATACAAACAGGAGACAAACAAGGATGAAAGAAACAGTAAAGAAACATGTTGTTGCTGATGCTGAAAATTAGTTAGAACATACCAGTCAAGATGCAAATGCAGAGAAAAAATAAGCAAGCTTCCCACAGCCTAGCCTTGGCTTTCAGCCGGCTAGGGAAGGCAGCAATACAAGTAGCAAAAAAAAAAGAGATTTTAGTGAGGTGTGTGTCTGAACTCAAGTGTTTTATCCCTTGTGTTCGTGTGATTGCAAGAAATGGAGGTGGGTATTTATTGTTTTGAAAACATCTGAGAAATAAGGCAGTAAATAAAGTTTAATGCAAATATGGAAGTAATCAGCAATCAAAATCAATCAACCAAGTGATTCCCCTTTAATTGAGGAATTACTTGTTTAATGGGGCTAACATGTTCAAAAGAAGGAAAGAAAGATCAGTTTGTAGGCAAACTGATTATTACCATAAAAGAAAGTAGTAAAACATCAAGTACATAATCGAGTCCAAGTACAGAGATACACTTGTGTGTTTTCTTTTTTTTTGGGAAAAGATTCAGCAAGGTAATAAGTAAGGAAAGGGATTAATCACTTTAACAAGCGAGTAAAATTAGAGTTCACAAAAAGGGAAGTTTTAAAATCAGTCCCAAAATTGAGCATCAGTCAAAGAAGGAACCTCAACATATAAATAGAATGCACAAACAAAAGACATGCGAGGCCAAGCTATTGGCAAGAGAAACAACATGAAATAGTAGTACAAAGTCAGTAGATAGCAAATATTCAAAACATGATAGTCAAGTAGGTCAGGTCTCATTGAATCAGTTGTAAGAAAAATAGAGTGTCAGGAGCATGCAAAGGGTCTCACAGCATAGTCGAGTTTCAAAGATAGTAAGAACCCAGAATCAGAGGAATCATATAAGGGAAAGAGATGCTGAAACAAGGAACTTCAAATCAAGTTAGGCATTCAAACGAGCAGTTTCAACTCAAAGACATAGGTTTTCTTAAACAATATTCAAGCTTAAAAGATGATAAACAAATAAGTTGAACAAGCAGTTTAGAAACTCGAATAGACCCGAAAGAAAACTAGGGTTTTTCAACATCGATCAAGTTTAAAGATGATAAACAAATAAATACGAAAATATCTAGCAAATAGTCTCAAAAACTCGAGTGAACCCGAAGAAATTAGGGTTTTCAACACCAATCGAGTATAAAGATGATGAACAAGTAAATCAAACAAACATTAACAAATAGCTTCAGAAACTCGAATGAACCCAAAAGCGATTAGGGTTTTCAACATCAATCGAGTTTAGAGGGTGGTAAATATACAAGTCAGACAAGAGTTCAAACAAGCACATATCTTAAATGTGTTAAAAGTCAGAGAAGAGATTTTGAAATAACTTAACAGAAAAAATCCTAATCGGAAAAGACAAAGAGTCGTTTTGATGGCAAAATTGAAGAAAATTCTAGAAGATTTTTAAAAGTTCAAGATAAACACAGATCTACAGTAGATCTGAAGGAAATCGGAGAGGATCTTAGAGATTAGGGTTTCAGAAGACCCAGAAAAGGTGAGAGAGGCTTCAAAAGTTACCGATCTAGACAGGGGAGGCAAAGGTCTGACTCGAATGGCCATGGCTGGCCGGAGAAAGGTCAGAGACGACCGGAGAACAGTCATCGAGCGAGGATTGGACCAAGTCCGTTCAGAATCTGGTCATGAGACCACAGCAACAAACGCATAGAAGCGATAGGAGGCTGATACAGGTCTTAGGCAACCATGGAAAGCCATAAATTAGGGTAGATTAAGGGGGCAGTGGCTAGGGTTTGATGTTGTTGTAGAGAGGATTTGGGAGAGGAGGGGAATGCAGAGGCGGCGTAGGGTAACAAATGAAAGGGTTTGGGGGGGTAGTTGGGAATTAATTTAGGTAAGGGCAATTTTGGGCCGTTGATTTGAGTGATCAACGACTTGGATTGAACGGGTAAAGGGGCGGTTTAAGGAGACCGGGTTTGGGTCGATTTTAATCGGGATTGGGTCAGGGTTTTGATAGGATTTGGGCCAGGGCAATTGGGATTCAAATTGGGTCCAATTTAGGCTATAATCGAAATAAAATGGGGCTAACATTTAAATAGCCAATTTTTCCTATTTGATTTATAAAAAATAATAAAACAGTTTCTGGAAATAAATTAGTGGTACTAAAATGATTTATGACACGTAATTAATTATTTAAAAATACCGGACTTAATTTTATGAACATAAATATAGTTAAATCTTGAATGAGGCTAATATTGCAATTATATGCAATTTAGCTTTAAAAATACTAAATAAATTTTTTAAAATATGCAAAAATTCCCTTGGCTATATTTTAGCATACATAAAACAATGCAATAAGTGAATCACCAAAAAATGATAACTTTAGAAACAATTACTGAATTTTATGGATAAAAATAGGAGAATAATTAGATAAAAAAATCTTTTAAAATTAAGGAAAAGTAATGAAGCACTTGGATATATGCATATATACCATTTTGAAGCTATATTTTCATATTGAAAAATAGATAGGGAAAAATTGGGTGTCAACAGTGCACACATCCATGCTGAAAGTTTCTTTTCCGCCTTCTTCGTGTACATCCCACACTTGTAATGCTTACTCTCTCCAGTTTGCTCTTTTAGGCCACTTACCTTGAAATCCGAGAATGCCATCAACTTATCTCTAGGTGCACCTATTGCTTCCTTCATCTTGAATACCACTCTTTCTTCCCCTACTCTTAGCATGAGCTGCCTTTCCTGAATGTCCAGAATAGTTCTGCCAGTAGCCAAGAAGAGTCTCCCTAAAATCATAGGGACCTCCTTATTCTCTTTAATATTCACCATGATTAATTCCATAGGGAACACAAATTTATCCACCTGAACTAGCACATCTTCCATTATTCCTTCAGGTATGATTGTGGTCTGATCCGCCAGTTGGAAAGACACAGGTATAGATCTGATTTCTCCAATCTTTCCCTCCAATTCCCTGAAAATAGACAAGGGCATAAGATTGATAGAAGCACCTGAATCACTCAAACATTTCAAATTTAGTACTTCCTAAAGAGCAAGGCATAGTAAAACTCCCTGGATCTCCAAACTTTTGAGGGAGCTTATTTTGTTTAATGGCACTACTAAACTATGTGAGCTTGACAGCCGATATCTCTTCCGCTTTCCACTTGTTGGACCATATATCCTTCATGAACTTAGCATATGTTGGCATTTGAGAGAGTACCTCTGTGAAAGGTAGATTATCATGCACCTGCTTGAGCAATTCTAGAAAATGCCCAAATTGTTTGTCCAACTTCTCTATTCTTTGCTTCTGAGGGAAAGGTAAAGCAGGCATGTATTTGCTCCTCAATCTCCTCATTCATTGAATTCTCATCCTTCTTCTTTTTTTGAGTTCTAGTCCTCCCTTTATTCTTCAGACCATCATCTGGATCTACTCTCACTTCACCTTCTTGAATGTTGTTTTTTTCTGCTCATCCGTAGTCTCTACCTGTCCTTCAACCAACTCATCCTTTTGTTTTGCCATAGGATCCTTCAATACGTGCCCACTCCAAAAATACACCGCCTTTATTGTCTCTTTTGGATTTGTTTTAGTATCAGTAGGGAGTGTTCCACGAACCCTCTCAAATTAGCAAGTTTCCCAACCTGTCTTTCCAAGTTTCGAATGTTGTGCCCGGTTCTCGGATAGTTGTGCCATGAGTTTCAAGCCTCTCATATATCTTAATAATAAAGGCCTTCATCAGATTTTCCATGCTAGAATGACTACACAGTGGGGGCTGATATTGCTGCCTCTATTGATTGAGAAGACCTGGAGCTCCCTGTCCTCGAGATCTAGAGTTATTCTATTGCCATGCATTCGCACTACCACCTGGTGAACTCCAAGAACAACTGGGGTACCTCTACCCCTTGGAGTTAAAAATTATTGCCACTTTGGTAGTTGCCTCTATCAAAGATCCCCAAAGTATTTACCACTTCATCTGTAGTCGAGGCCTGATACTCATGCTGGGATGACCCATTCCACAAAACTCACAAACTGAGGATGATTGACTCTGGACCTTAGATAAGGTTCTTTCTTATCTCTCTGGTCATGGGGTCTAGCTGGGCTTGCACTGATGTGTTAGAGTCCAACTAATGTAACCCAACCTTTTTCCATCTCTCGTTATCATCTGCACGCCATTGATTTGCATCTCCAGATAATTCATTTAGAATTGCAAGAATCTCCTCAGGTGTTTTCTGCATAAGAGGACCTCCAACTATGTTGTTTTGCGTCCTCCTTTTTCAAGGAACTTTATCATGTCTTCCCAATATTGAATTGACCCAGTCGGCAAACTCTACAATCAGTGCTTAGCATCTTCCCTCAGTGAAAAAAGAAATGTCCTTAAGTAGATAGCATTTTTTGATACCCCGTTGTGCTGGAAGCCATTCATAATCTTATCAAAATCCATCAAATGAGTATTTGGATCTTTGTTGGATTTTCTTCGGAAGACACAATTGTTATGAATGGTCTGAAGTAGCCCTTGCTTGATCTCAAAATTATTTATTACGATCGGAGGAGGTCGCACACTAGATACTCCTAGACTGTAGACTGGTCTGACGTAGTCTCCTAGTGATCCTCCCGGCCTGGGCATATTATTTTCAAATTCGTCTTCAACCAGAGGTCAGTTCGAGTTGATTCTTCGTCCTCCATTCTAGTCCACGGTTTCATCAGCTCTGAGAGCTACTTCAGTAGTTGCCCGTGCGGCTGCTTCCTGTTGGGCTATTTCCCGTGTAGCCAAATCAACTATCTCTTCATTGTTCTTTGCCATGTTCCCTTGGGTTGAAGATTGCCCCAAGAGTTTCCCGGTGAGTTCTTTCTCTTTCCTCAACTGTCGCAGATGCTTTATCACTTCTTTTGAAGAAGATCGGGTCTTACATCAAATAGTTTAACATGTTGTCTACACACGGAAGAGAAAAACCTTTAAGACTAAAATAAAATTGGTTCCTAAATAAGCACTAAAAACTATTTTGAACATTATTGATCATCAGTCCCTGCCATCGACATCAGAATTTGACGATCGCAAAACACAATACGAAATTAATGCTCGCTAGCCAAAGATAGTATAGTTTGATTATCATCTTCACATGGATTAGATTTAAACAATGTTCAAGTAATTTCTAGCTTAACGATATTCAGTATGATTAACACTTTGTTTGGGATGATTAATAACTAACATTAGCTATGAATACTAAAGCAATTCCCAATAGATCATAGAAAGACAAGAGTTGAGCAACACCAAAATAATCAATGGGAGAAATAAGGGTTGTGACAGGATAGGTGCAAGATGGCTATTCGGGATCTAACTCTAGTTCAATTCACTCTAATGTTGTTATGATTCTCACGAATTCAGGCGATGATTAGTTCAATCATGTAGCCAAGACTCCTCTCTTTATTAAATCTTAACTCTACAAGGTGATCTAATATAAAGCACTATAAAAATATACAAGAACGCGTTAATGGATTAGTCTTTAGGAAAATGTCTCTAGAATATTCTCTTAACTTGATTTAATCAACAATTCAATAAGCTCTTTAGATTACTTAAAAGAATCACAAAATTAAACAAAATAAAATAATGCAAAGATGACCACCAAAATATTCCTATTTCGATTAAATTAACCGGTGAATAAAGTAGCAATCAATTCAAAGTTACATAAACGAATTCAAGCAAAGAACTAGAGTTAACATCTACAAATATCAATAAAAACACCATATACGTCAAACCCTAAGATAAACTACTCCATATTTATGGATTAATTCATCACGAATAAAGTTGAATAGTAAGAAAAAATTAATTCAATCCAAACTCGGGAGTTGAGTCGAGGATAGAATGATGAATCCTTGTGCTTTGAGTCTCCAATGCTCTTCCGATCTTCCGTAGGTCAAAAGTCCTCTAGAAATGTATTTTTAGTGTATTTATACCAAGTTGGGACGTGCCTGGACCAAACTAACCTCCTTGAGCAAAAGTGGGAAAACCTATCAACTTTTACACTTCATGCGTCGCATAGTGCTACGCGCCCTGCATCGCATTAGTGTAAGTTGCTCAGTTGTAAACTCTCTGAACTTAGCTTGTCTGACAAACTTTTTTACTAATGCGTCGCACTATCCCACGCGCCCTGCGTCGCGTTACTGTATTTTTCTGTCAGACCCGAAAACTCCAAGTCTCTGAACTTCTCAAACTTCTGACCAACTTTTGTACTAATGTGATCCTTAATGCCATGCCTCATGCGACGCATTAGTACATTTTGCTCCATCCCCTGATATGATCATGGTTTAATTCCTTGGGCTTTTACTCAGACTTCAAAGCTCCAAATTATTCAATTTAGCTCCAATTTATCTTTTTAACACAAATCATTTCTTGCAAGGCATATAACACGTAATAAGTGCAAATCTCCATTATTTAAGCTCAGATACGCTCAAAGTGTAGTAATTAGAGTGAAAAATGCGGCTAAAACACGTGTTCCTAGCCTACCATCAAGCCTCTAAGTGAGCTCTGTGTCCTACTGCTACCAGGTAGAATAGCAGAACCAGTTGGTCCCCTAGCCTTGATCTCCTCAAAGCTACACTGCTTGAGGATAACAACATCCAAAATATCATTGTGATTTCCAAACTTAAGGTCAGGCAAGGCAATATTGAGCTTAGCAAACAACTCAGTTAACATAATGCCATAAGGCATATCATGCTTAGGCTTGGAAGTGTCTGCAGCTCTTGCCATGTGCTGAATCATCGGGCTAGGGAGATTGATAGCTCTACTAGTGTCAAGCAGTTCCATCAGAACTATATCTAGCATAGTAGCCTCGTTCCTTCTCTCAGATCTCTGCAAAATGCAGGAATTTATAAAACGAAATAGCAACATGTGAAAGGGAGTCATGTCAGTCTTATACACCGTCTGGGGAGCATCCAATTCAAACTTCTGAGAGAACTTCCTTGTGACTACAATTCCTGTGTCCACATCATTATCTAGGGCTGGCCACTTTTTCTTCCAGTAATTGTGAAAACCTACGGAGAGAATATTCAGAAGCATCCCAAGCTCTTCAACATCAAACTCCATCTCAAACCCCCTTACATTACTCTTGACCACTTTGCCATCAAACTGGAAGTTTACATAGAACTCCACCAAAATAGGCATACCTTTCCTTTTCTTTCCTTTGCTGGCCCTTTTAGATGGGGTATTTGCCTTGGTAAATTTGACAGCCTTTCTCTTTTGTGCTAATGTCTTTTCTTGCAAAGTATGAATTAGACTCATCTTCGGCATCCAACTCAACAACAGGTTGAACAACTGGAACTTGCTTCCTTGGATTCTTGGCACCTTTGGACTCCTTAATGATTTGTTCACCAGCAACCTTTCTTTTACTCCTTGTGAGAGGAGTCTTAGCATGAAGAGCCACCTTGTTTTCTTACATAGATAACAGACTTTATTCCTTTCACAGGGGCCTTCTTGATTTTCTTCCCTACTACAGACAAGGGTAAATTGTCCTCACTGCTGACCTCCTCGTCTCTAGTAAAAGAATTTAACAAGGACCCAATTTCTTAAGTCCTTTTCTCTCCACTTGCTTCTTCTGAAGGGGCTATGACAGTGTCCCCAATAGCCATAGAGCCTTTTGATTCCCCACTTGTATTCTCATTCTCTTCCTCAATCTCTTCATCCTCACCTTCACTCTCCCTTTCCTTTTCTTCATCCTCACCTCCACTCTAAAAATCACCTTCTTCCTCACTATCTTTTTCTTCCTCTCCAGAATCACCCACTTGTTCATCTATCTTATATTCTGATTCACTCTCATTCTTCCTCTCCAAAATCACCCACTTGTTCATCTATCTTATCTTCTGGCTCACTCTCCTTCTCCTCACCAGAATCTCCATCATTCTCACTCTTTTTCTCATCAGTATCATTAGCCATGTCTTGAGCCTAATGCTCTTCATGACTATCCACCACTCCTCTTTATTCCTCACCTTCATTATCGACCTCATCCTCAGTCCAGCTGAAAGAGAGACCATCAGAAGCATCCTTATGTACTGGTTCTTTATCACCTTCCCCCTCAACCATAGGCATACCATTAGTTGTATCTACTCCTTTTCCTGAGTTGCTATGTTCATTTCTATAGTAGGTTCCTCCACCTGTGGTTTTTATCACTTATGGGTGGAGCAATATCTAAGGGTGAAACATCAAAAGCAGAAACCAGTAGTAGTTGACATTGGTTCCCCTTGAACCATAGCTTCCTTAACTACTGTGTCTACCCTAGCAGTAGTATCGAGAACCACCTTGTTACTTTTGATAGATTTTCTTGGAGTAGGCTTGATCTTAG